GTGCGTTTGTTGTTAGATTTTTCGTTTCGAAAAAAGCTATTATAGATAAATTATAGTCCGAATGTTTGTATGTGTGTTCTTGACTGTTATTTTTTAATAGATTCGATATAATGTAATACTACCCTGGGAGGGAAAAATAATTCCGCTGCATTGTATTTTGCGTCGCCAGTATATAGGCAGCCATATCTCTATTTAATCTAATGGAATGAAGTAGATTGGAAAATGAAATTGGGGCGACTTGCATGGCGAAGAGGAAGATTCGCGGTAGCACGAGCTATGGCTTCCTAAAGAATTAACGCGCGTTCTCTTATTTATAGTTATCGCCATTTAAAGCATATTTCCTTGCTGCGGGTACGACCGCGTTGAAAATTTAATGCCTTCCGCTCCTTCCCTCCTGCAGACCGTGTGAGGATCGGCACCGAGAGCGACACAATGCACCGGAGAACCGTTAATCGCCGTCCTTTCGCACCAAAAGTCAAGGCTTGTACGGTTCTCTCTCTCTCTCTCTCTCTCTCTCTCTCTCTCTCTCTCTCTCGTTCGAAATTTTACCATCGCATTGTTCAAAGAAAGAAGAGTTATGCTAAAATGTCTAAAAATATCTAAAAATACTTAGCTAGAATAAATAATAATTTAACTAGATATAAATTTAAATATAAAATAATTTTGTGTGTTTTATATTTAGAGCGCTCAAACTGATTGCTAGAATATTAAAATTTTTGCAACATTGTTTTCAGGATTGTCATAAAATTGGAAATCAGAGAAAAATCAAGAAATTTTGCGAAGCTTTCTGGAAAATAAAAATTCTTAGCTGTAAAAAAGTTTAATATACGTATATCACACCTATTCTCTAAATCTCTGTGACTCAGTGGATTAATAACATTCTTGGCACTGATATCAATCAGTGGATAATCATTGATTGATATCAGTGCCAAGAATGCTATTGGTAATCAGCGAATTAAATATGAGATCCCTAACCTAGCTAATCTTTATTATGTGATCTAATCTTGTTTTAGTACTTAAATTCAATGAATATGATACTGGAAGATTGAAATTAATGTGAAAATGTCAATATTTTAGTTATATAATGCTCAAACATTCTTTCTTTTTTAGTTGAACTTTACTGATTATTAGTGCTAAATATGTCACTGGATAATTAGTGACTATCCATTGATTCAGATTTAAAGAGTATGTAGTTTTACGATAGAATATTTCCAACTTAACAATTAACAATGCAAGTAGTATCCATTAATTTAAATACATTGCCATGGTAAATTCATTTATTAACAAAATAATAAATGGTTTTCAAATTTAGGACGAAAATATAAAAAATGTTTAAATATTATTGAAAGTCACGGAAAATTGTGAAATTTTGTCTGGAAATCAGGGAAAAGTTATGAAATTTTAGAATGAAGAATATGTGATAATTTTATTATATTTAAATTTTCTACATATAATTATTTTTATGATTTATCCAAATTATTTTCAGATTTGTTATATAAATTTTTAAATAATTCAGCAAAATTATCCTTTCGGTGCGGCTGTTAAATCCGAGTAATATCTCGGAAATAACATCCTGGCCCTCGCCGGTCGTCCAGGAGATGGAAATTTAAAACAGTGTGTATTTTCTTTTCACGAGCTTCCGCGTGACGTCACGTGTGTCACACGTGCTGCCCAGCGTCGATGCGCGCGTAATAATTCATCCCTCACACATTCGGCGACGCGTATTCCGTGCGTCGGCGGTCGTCGCGTCCCACTGAAATTGCGGTTCAGCATAAATTATACTGGCGAAATTACAACGTCGCGCAAAGTAAGGATTCTACATGTAATTACACTGTTTGATCCTAAATGATATAGACTAACTGACATCAAGCTGAACGTGGAGTACTGACGTCAAGTTGCTTGATGACGTTACTATTTAGAAGCGGGTTATATATGCGAAATTTTGCCACCCGTCCCTGTATTCGCTCGCTCGTGTCTCGCATCAACTTCAACGTGTTTTGCCGTTTAAGAACGACGGGAACTAAGTAGAGAGTGCATACACGCACCACGTAAGTCACGTTCGCGGCCAGGAGGAAACTTTACCTTGTGCCATGCGTAAAAGCACGCATAGGCAGTGCCGAGACATCAGTGCTGTAGTCACGCTCGCTCTTTGTTTCAAGCGAGCGCGAGGTCGTTGTCCCAATTCTCGACTTCGTGTCTGTGTCGTCGTCGTCGTCGTCGTCGTCGTTCGTCATCGATAGAGATAACAGCGATAACTCACGATTTAGCGACGCGCCGCCGGCAAGCTAATAAATTTCTATGCAGCTAGATCGAAAAGAGCCGCGGCGCCGGTAAAAGATGGAAAAATTATTATTATCCTTTGATATATATATATTTCCCCTCTTGCATTGAATAGAGGCAAAGTCATAATCCGATATCGTATTTTACGGGGGAGGGGGAGGAGGAGGGGGAGATACATTTTATTTATTCCTTGTGAACCTTCGCTTTTACGGCTTCTACGCATCTACATTATTTGACGCGATACGCGTGTTGTTAAAATAAACATTTTTCATGCGTTGCATCCGGATTTACTGTCACCAATAAAAAAAAAAATACATGCGGCGATGAAAGTTTTCCAAGTCTCACATTTACGAGATTATTTGAATAAATCGAATTTGTACAGTAATTTCTATGCATTTTGTTCGACCGAGCACCGACGTCCGAAATCGAAAATGCGCGAGATCAGGTGCGCACTCTCGTAAATAATCTTCATGCCATCTGTCTTAATAGGTGGCCTGGCTGGCTTTACTGCTGGTGGAGGAACGAACGAATGCGGAGATGTGTGTGTGTGTGTGTGTGTGTGTGCACGCGCGCGCGCGTGTGTATGTGCGTGTGTGTGTGCGTGTGTTTGTGCGCAGCTTGAATAAATAAACAATCCGGTGCTCCGGTTGCATTTAATATTCCGCGAGGCAACGTGCATATGCGACGAACTCGCGACCAAATGTCACGGTTTCGGACATACGTGTCACATGGAAAATGGAAAATCGTATAAATAAATATAAATGCATCATTGATTCGCGCCCATAGCCCGATCCGCGTGACGTTTCGACGTTCGAGTTTATATTGCGCAAACTTTTTCCGAAGTAGGATAAATGTGAACCCGGATGGCGAAATGTATGAATTATGGCGAAACCTACCATATACCATGAATTCTAAGTAACCTAATAAAGACAAATAGCGTAATTTTTTTAAAATTATGTCAAGTCAAACCGGTTGAATGATCATAAATGCTAAAAACAATTTTGTGAAATTTCTCTCAGTTCGTTAATATTTTTTATATTGTTTTTATTGTTTATTATAATTTTTAATGTAAGAATTTACTTTCTTTTTGCCCTTTGGCAGCAATGTTTTAAGAGCACAGTTTTTGATCGTGAATTTTGATAGACAAATCTATAAAGAAATAAGTAAAATACAATCCAACGTGTATTATAAAAATTCATTGTTAAAGCTTTCGCAAATATACGTAAGAATTTTTTTAGAATTTTTTACAGAACAATATAAAGTTCTGCATTAAAGTTCGAAGGTGCGAACAAAAAGAAAATTTCACATTGTCGACAGAAGATTAAATGAATGATAATTAGTACAACTTATTAATTCGTAAAAAGCTGAGCTATATTCTGGACTAATGAGTTTTCTACAATAAGCCATTACTTAAACTTTAAATCTTAAGCCGTAAGAAATTGACTAATTAGAATCAAATATGAAGAATAATCGATGATTAGCCAATTTCTTATGGCTTAAAGCTTAGGTAATGGCTTTCATTGAAGAATTCCCATAAGATTTTAAATGGACGGAAGCGTATTTCGAAATGTCTCTCTGAATGATACAAACAGATGATTTATTGTTTGTCATGAAAAGCAGAAAGAGCCCTCGTTTAAAGTCAGTCTGGCAGAAAAGTGACAGGAGTGACACTTTGTGAATATCACATGAAATCTACCTTCGGAAATGTATTCACGAACTCAGGTCGGTTTCATAACGTTTACAAATTTTAAGTGCTGTCCTCAACTCTTTAACGTCTTTACGATCATGTGAGGGATTTTCGTGTTTTTCTACCGTCAGAAATACATGATCTTTAATCATAAGGTGTGTACCTATATTTTTAGCAATTTGGAATTTGTTTACAATGACAGATTACAAAAAAATTACTCCACTTTATTAAATCAAGTTGGACGACTTTTGGCATTTTTTTTTAATAGAAAATGAAATGATTTTTGAGTATACAAGACTCGTCTGAACCTCGGAACGCAGATTAGATGTAACGAATTATAACTGAATCTATATATAGGTATCTTTATAGAAAGTAATATCTTTAATTAGTATAACCTCAAATTAAATTTAATTAATTAAAAGATAAAGTATCTGTGAATATCTCAGAATGAGAATTTCATATGCAAATTTTTTTTTTTTTTTGAAGTGCTCGAGTAACTAATCGAGAGCGTTCGCGACTTTGGTAATGCCATACGACTATGTAGTGCATGTCCGTCGTGTATACGGAAGAGTGCATATACATGCAGCGAGCCAGAGAAAGTACAAGACGAAAGGAGCGAGAAAGACCGGAGGGGGTACGACGCTTTCCAATAATTTCTGCGCTTTGTTGTAAATTCCCCCCCGCTAATTCGTGGTATTTTCTCGCTGTATTTTATGAGCGGCTACCGGCTTTGCCTCGCAAATTGTTTCCAGGAATTCTCCGTACGCTGTTAAATTACTGTACTTTCACATAATATGTGCGGTGGATTTTAGCTCGGCGCAGCGTGCCGTGCCGCACCGCACTTCAACCTAGAGTCTATCCTTCTCATTGGAATTTTGTGTTGCGCTTGGTTCCCGGAGAATTTTATTTTTTAAGCTAATCTCTTTTTATTACGTACAAAATAGTTTTAACTTTTTGCCCCCGTATAAGGGCTTTTTACTCCGTAAATTGATGAAAGGACGTTTGCTAGAGACGAATTCTCTTTCTGTTTCAGGCGATCGCGACGCTACCAAAACGGCCTCTGGTGAGTAAGCGAAATTATATTTATTATAATCTCTTCTCATTTTTCAACAATAGCATTCGCTTGCTGCATCGAAATTGTATCGTTAAGATACGCTACGTATACACTGTGTGGTTTATACGATATATCCTTCGTCGATGACGATCGTAAAAGTACACAATTTGAATGATGAAATTAGTATATTCTGATACGACATACATTTTGCTCGTCTCGAAATGAAAGAAACGTTCGAATAGAAATATGTATTTCCAAAACCGGTTTAAAAATTTATGACTTTGATGGGCGTTGGAAGCACGTTCAACCGATATAACCACCGAATTGATCGCCGAATTTCCATATATTATTTCTAATTTCACATAAAATTCGTCACCACATCGTAAATTAGTAATGAATCTTGCGTGTCTTGATATTTCCAAAGCCATTTTGATTTTTGATAGTCCATTAACGATTATATCGCATCTAAAAGTATTTAAGGAGTAAGATGGCTATAAATAAGATGGCTATAAATCGTTATCACATCCTTTTTCAGTAAAATCGCTTAACAACGGAAAGAAAATATTTAACATTGGAATTAGGAGTTATTATCGACAGATGAGTTTTAAAAAAAACTGTAGATCAATAATTGAATCGGGATTCAATTAGTAAAAAAACATTTTACTATCGATGCGAAAACCGAAGCCGATGGATAAAAGGTGATATATGTGAGCGTGCTCGACGGACTTTAGCTATCCAGAGAAGAACGAGAGAATCGCCATTAGTTCAAAAGTTTTCTCAACAGTCTGTCAGTCTGTTTTCGTCGACGCGCTTCATCTTATTCCAGTGAGCGTGCACGACTATTGTCTTCCGCCGGATTTTCGTCGGCACGAACTTTTGGAGGACTCAACGAATCACCACCAGGTTGTCATCGATGAAGATCGATGATCGGAGGTCGCTTTTTCGATCTTCTCCCTGATAAATAGAAAAAAATTGTTACAAAGTGTGAATAGGTCATAATATTTTTCTTATTGATTGTACGCTCGACGATACACTGAAAAAAAATATTAAATATTAATTTTAATAAATATTTGTTTGAATAATTCTTGTAAAGTAAATATTTACTAAACATAAATATATTTTTATTTGATACAAAAACCATTAATTTGATTTAACTATCGTTTTTTTATTGAGTAAATATTTGTTTATTATAAGTAAAATTTATTTAGTACATATTTGTTTACATTTTTGTAAGTAAAATTTACTTAGTGCATATTTAAAGAAATATATATTAAGATTTAATAAATTTTTTTAGCCTAATATTACTTTTTTTGAACTTTTTTGTGAGGAATTTAATAATCAAGATAATGCAACTTTTTCCTAAAGCAAAAAGTGAAAACTTTTACTATTAAAATTAATAGAGAAATTTTGTACTTTCCGTTCTAGGGAAAAAAGTTACATGATTAGTATCCTGAAAGTATTGTATTTAATTTTAGTAAAAAATACTCTATTCAAATTCAATAAATTTATTATTATGAAAAGTGTCGAAATCGCACTTTTTTCGAATCGCTTAATTACATTTCTTTTATCACTTTAAATAAAGAGTATAATTACTTATCCTGATTTATATTCAATTATCTTCATGTTTTAATATGTTACAGTAAAATCATTTATGAGCAAGGCGATGAAATTGATCTGATATAATTTTTTTAATTCTTTGATAACGCGAGGATTAAAGTTGTAAATGTTTATGACTTGTCTTCTTATGTATCAGCTCGAAACAGGGCAGCTTTCGCGAGACGTGAATGTACTTTAATACATTCCACTATGAGCACCAACGGTGCCATCGGCGGCAACAGTATAAAGCCGGTGTTAATATTTGATTTGCCGGTTGCTGGGCGGCGATGCGCATGCCTGGCGTCTTCGACCCTCTTCGCGTTTCACCCCTTTAAATCTCGCCCTTATCCATCCCCTCGTCCTTTCCTCCTCCTCCTCCTCCTCCTCCTCCTCCTCCTCTGCGAAGAAACTTCTATTTACCTATCTGTCGCCGCTCTCAATAGACGGGATTTAATACCGAGCGGTTGCCATGCGGTAAACTTGTGTCTTATGTCTCGCGGATAAGAATTATCGTTCGAGCAATCTGGTTTTGCGGCCGACGAGTTCAATGATCCTTCGCACAACACTCGCGCAATGGATATTTTATTTCGGATAATTTTGGCCAGTGTTGCTAACTTCTGGCGGTCGATACACCGCGATAATTTTGATGCAGTCGCAAGAGAGTAAGAGAGAGAGAGAGAGAGAGAAAGAGGGGGGGGGAGAGGGTTGAGAGAGCGCACAGTGACGATTCGGAAATTGTCGATCGGACTTTACGATAAACTTGCTATTCCCGTCCATCCTACCCTTGTAGCGCAGCGCCAACTCCCATGGAGGGAGGTTAAATGATAGTTCGCATCGAAACTTTTTTCTCCTGCATTTATAAAACCCGAGTATCGATTAACCTTTGTGAGTGACGTGGCGAATTTACCAATCGTGCTTCTTTTTTTAACGGAAATTTATTAATATCATCCTCTTATGGTGGCAGAAAATGGTCTATAGACTGCAATCAAGCATAACTTTGTTTTTACCTACTTGCCCGACACTTTTCCATATAAAATGCATCGTGATGCATCTGTTGTACCACGTCGGTCACTAACGTATCATTGCGCGTCTCCTCGCGTGTTAATGTTTAATACGTCGTATAACGTTGTTAAAACAGGAAGTCTGACGAAGCTAAGCTAGGCATTTCAATGCATAAATTTAAATTCTTTGAAACTCGAATCTCTGCTTATTAAAAAAAATATCTAAATTTTACATGAGTTACTCTTATATAACGCTGCTCATTAAGATAACATTGAATAATTTTCACAGCATACATTATAGCAGAACATATTCGTATTTAGACGAATTTTTTGAACAAGGAAGCGTTGAGAATTTTTTTATTGTATTTGCCTACAGACATAATAAATTTAGACTGCACATTTTCTTAGTACTCTCTAAATCTGAATCAATGGATAGACACTAATTACCAAGTGGCATACTTTGCATTGATAATCAATGAAGTTCAACTAAAAAAGAAAGAATGTTTGAGCATTATATAACTAAAATACTGATATTTGAACGTTAATTTTAATCTTCCAATATCATATTCATTGAATTTCACTAAACAAGATTAGTTAGATCATAAAGATTAGGTTAGGGATCTCACATTTTATTCACTGATTACTAGTGGCATATTTGGCACTGATATCAGTGATTATCTACTGATTCAGATTTAGAGAATAGTTTATGCTGTGTTACAAAGAATTGAATTATATCAATATCTTAATTCTATCAGCATCTCTCTTCAATTTGGATTATGAAATATTTTAGAGAGAAAGAGCGATATGATTTAAGTTACCTCATTTCTTTTGAAAAGAATAATAACTTCATAAAAAGAGTCTATTTTTATCTTATTACGTCTGTATACACTCAGGATATCTGAAACATTTAAATGTCACGAGCATTTAAATGTATTACCTCATTTTCTAGTAAAAAACCAAACATTTCCGTTTGTCAAAAAAATTATTTTAATGATTATTCCATTAATGCTGTCTCTGAGAAACGCTGTACAAAAGCAGATGGTCGCGGAAAGATTTCGTAACGTAGAGATAGAAAACCACCGAGTCCCAAAAATAGACGACTTTGCGGGCGCGCGCACGTCCTCGCTTTATACGAGGAAACGAGAGGCCTGTCAGCTGATTGGACGAGTGCCAATTTTTGGTGAATGAACCAACGGTCTCGTGTCTCAAATACACACCCTCTTTGGTAGTTTGCCCTCAACACGGCTCGCGAAAGATATGAGATCTTTTTTTTAATCAACCTACAGAACTGTGATCAATTTTGATACTTAAAAGAGATGTAGCGTCTTGTAGAGATGTCTTGATTCATGTAATACAGCTTGAAATACACGCTTGAACATTACGCGTTCGTTTGCGTAGTCACGCAATTCAGATACTAAAACGGATATTTCTATAACCGATAATAGTCACGAAATTATATTAAAGGAGAGATATTTATTTAATATGTATTATGAAATTATTAGGAGTACAATTTTATTGAAGTATATAAAAATGTAGCTAGATATAGATCTCAAAATCATTTTGTTGGGCTTGTTATGTGCGAATTAGAATGTTGGTTGCTGGAATATATAAGCTTTTTGGAGCATTGCTCTTATCATGCTTGAGTTCCCTATATAATTATTTTATTAAAAAAATTATTTTCAAATTTGTATCTACTAAAATTTTTAGATACTGCAAAATCGTTCGTCTTTGGTAAATGACACAGTTATAATATGTCGAAAAACTATTTGGATATCAGAATTCATTAGCAATGTCAGAATTACCTCGATCAACTCGACGGCGAGTCCTTCAACGGTGAGTTGACTCGTCCTATCGAGTTAAAGGATTAACGCTTATGTCTACCCCGAGAGGCGTGCCCATTACCGCGAGAAGCGGCTTTGATATGCTAATAAAGAACCAGTAACGCGATCTCGATGTCAGGATATTGTCGCCCGATAAAGGCGTTAGAGACACGGGACTCGAAAGAACAACTGTGCATGTGACATGTGCGTAAAAGCCAACAACAGGCTTAGGCCCCGGGCCTCCGATTCCCCTGGGAAGATAATGAAATTTCGCATGTGCGAGAATCAAAAATCATCTCCTTTGTGCGTCAGGAGCCGAGGTCGCTTAACGGAACACCCGGGAGGATCGCTGCCGATAGAATCTCACGGGTTAACTCGACACTGCAGAATACTGCGAGATTTTTTTCTGCAACGGATGAAGAGTCGTGCATGCAAATTGCAAATGGCCGAATAAAAATATACGTTTGCGCATACGTTAATATTCTTGCAGCTTTCCTAGAAGAAGATTAGCGTGTTGCATTAAGAAAATGAAGGCACAAAAGCGTTGCGTTAGGAAAATAGAGGTATTAACTCGGCGGATTTTACAACGGAG